GCATTCGTTTGTTGCAACCCCGATTGCTGTGGGGCTTGAGTTGCCCATGTATGTGCTTCTCCACCATTATGGGTGACTACCGCCACCGAAGAAAAGTGTGATGCTACCACTATTCATCGCGACGTAGCATTTCAGTGGGACGGCCGTGAGTTCTCGGTAGATCTGATAGGATTGCCGATGGTCAACTTGGAGGTTATTCTGGTCATGGATTGGTTGTCCAGGAATTATGTGATGATTGAATGTTGTGCCAAGCGTGTGGTGATGTCTCCGTGTGATTCCACAACCAGTTCCTCGCCGTACATTTTGTTGCTGCAGGCTAGGAGGGCTTTGCGAGCAGGGGCATTTGGTTATATCATGTTGGGAGGTTTGGTGAGTGGGACACAGGAGGATATCACTAGCATTCCTGTGGTGAGGGAATTCCTCTGAGTGTTTCCGGAGGAGGTTCTTGAGTTTCCGCCTCAGAGGGAGATAAAGTTCTCTATAGAATTGTTGCCTGGTGTGGGGCTTCGTTATTAGATCCACACCGGATGCCGCCACCTGAGTTGGCTGAGTTGAAGTAGCGTTCTGAGGGTCTTTCAGCGAAAGACTTCTCCCGACCAAGCGTGTCTCCATTGGAAGCACCAGTCATGTTGTTTTGAGGCAAGATGCCTTACGCCATTACTTAAGCGTGATGGTGCTCTGTTGGAGGATGAGAAATACTCTTTAGGGAAACTAAGTGTATAACACTTGGACTTTGTGGCAAGGCCACGCGCGATCTTGTATATGCGAGGCAGTGCATGTACAAGTAGCTTGTGGGTTGAGTGGTCTCCATGACTCTAGGTTCTTTTGTTGTTTATCGATATGCTTCATAAATAGTTGGCATGTTAAACCATGGGTAGTGTAAGCATGACTTAAGTACGATAAATTATGGTAATGTTTCAATGTTATTTCGCCTTGATATGACTCTCGATTTTGCAGATGCCATGGAAATTAAGGTATAATATTGCTTTGAGTATTTGACTTATTATGTTATTAAAATAGGAAATTTTGCAGGTGTACGTGAACTAAGGTATATTACTATGAGACTGAGAATGTTAAGTGACATGTTTTGGTTGAAATGACATGATTATGATTTCGTACTGTAAAGGAAACATGAAATTATTTTGAAAATAATGATTTATAAAATTGTAAGCCTAGTCGATGTTAGAGTCAAGAAATAGGACCAAACTCACTCAAGTTATTGTGTGGAATAGAGTTTGTGGGGTCAGGTCACCTCTATTGAGAAAGTGACTGGTGATCCCAGTGAATCGTGAAATTTCGAGTTTTGATGGTGACCTCTCTGTTTGGAGGTGCACTTCTCGAAATGGAAACCGTGCAAGTTGAGAATGAGCTCATGGAGAAGATCCAAGAGGCGCAAGTGCTAAGAGAGTGCCGGGATTATGTGAACAACCAGGACAGTGTGTCTTGGAAGGAGGAAGAACTTTTTGCTTATGTGCCCTTATGTTGTTATGCTTATGGGTGAAGTTTGAACGCCATAAGCCGTCTGGTAACTTCAACTTCTCGAAGTACCACAGTGGAAGTGGGAAAGTATTTTCATGGATTTTGTGGTGGGATTGCCTAAGACTCAGGCAGGTTATGACTCTATCTAGGTCATTGTGGACTGACTGACGAAGTCTTCCCATTTTCTTCCAGTGAAGGTGAGCTTCACTACAGAGCAGTTGGCCAAGCTTTATGTTCGCGAGATTGTGAGGCTTCACGGGGAGCCCGAGAGTATCATCAGTGATAGGGACCCGAAGTTCACATCTCGCTTCTGGGAGGCGCTATAGGAGGCTTTTGGTACGCAGTTGAGATTGAGTACCGCCTATCATCCTCAGACAGATGACAGACTGAGAGGACCATCCAGACCTTGGAAGACATGTTGCGGGCTTGCACATTGGAGCAGGGCTCGGCATGGGATAGGTATCTTCCGTTGGTTGAGTTTTCGTACAACATCAGCTTTCATGCTAACCTGGGCATGGAGCCCTACGAAGCATTGTATGGTAGGAGGTGTCGGACTCCTACCTGTTGGTCAGAGGTTGGAGACAAGGAGCTTTTTGGCTTGGACTTTGTCCAAGATACCACCCAGCAGATCCAGATGATCAGAGAAAAGTTGAAGCAGGCGTATAATCGCCAGAAGAGCTACTATGATGTCAAGTATCGTCCACTGGAGTTCAGTGAGGGTGAGCACGTGTTTGTGAGACTTTCACCTGTCACCGGTGTTGGACGGGCACTCAGAGTGAGGAAGCTGAGCCCGCAATATATTGGGCCATACCAGATCCTTGGTAGAGAAGGACTTGTTGCCTACCGGCTTGCCTTGCCTCCGAACTTGGCCATTATCCACGACGTGTTTCACGTGTCTCAGCTTCGGAAGTACATAGCAGATCCTTCGCACGTGGTGCAACCTGATGATGTGGAGGTTCGGGAGAACCTAAAGACTCCTGTCGGACCACTCAAGATTCTCGATCGTGGCGAGAAGCAGCTGAGGAGCAAGATCATTCCGATGGTCAAAATGCAGTGAACTGGAAGAACTCCTGAGGAGTGTACTTGGGAGCGTGAGGACGAGCTTCTCCGGCAGTACCCCGAGTTTCGAGACAGGTATGTTTTCGATTTTTTAGGACAAAATCCTTAAAAAGGAGGGGTGAATGTAAGAACCCGCACCGTTAATTAAGGAAGTTAATTAATTAAATATGTGAAATTAGAAAATAATTCCATAATTGACCCTAATAATTATTATGAGGCTTAAATAATTATAGAAAGTGGTTAATAATGCTTAAAGTCGCTTTTCTGACGAAAAGTGCAGATACCGGTTCTGCTAGTCAGTATAAATGCGTACCGATAAAGTATCCCGAAAAATTATAACAAGTGCATGATAATTCTTAGAATAATATATAGGACTTGTAAAACGAGTTTCAAATTAAAATAAGGAGAACTGGTGCCAGAAACTGATACTGGCTATGAAAAGCGTGTACCGAAAATGTGCTGCGAAAAATATAAGAAAAATATGATAATTCTTGTAAAATCGAGTAGGTTAAGAATCCTGAGTGTGGGATTAAAATGCTAAGCGTAGCAATTAAAGTTAATACTGTGTGCTTATTGGTTAAGTGACTATATAAGCTTAGTGGCATATGATCCTAGGTCATATTGGCTGCCTCCTACGTGAAAATTCTGAGTCTTTAAGTCAGCCTTGCCACCTTCACCTTCCCTCACTATCTTGAGCCAAAGGAGCCATTTTACTCTTGATTTCTCTACCAAAACACCATTGCCTTGTGTGGATTGGCCTTGTGAGGTGTGAGTGATATCATTTTTGAGTTTGGTGTCCCTGTTTTGTTGGGTTTGAGAGCTGAGTTTGATAGTTGGGTTGTGGGAACCTTGGTGATGACATTTTGAGCTTCAAAGTGTCACCTTTGTGAAGAAAGAACTCATCTTTGTTGGTCCATTTCCGTGCTCTACAAAGTCAGTACCTTGGAGTTGTCTTGTGAGCTCCAAGAGCACCTTTTGTTGGCTGGTTGAACCTTGGGTAAGTGTTACCACCTTGATCTTGATTTTATTGGGTTAAAGTTGATGTCTTGGCATGTTTTATAAGTTAAAGAAGTATGTAATCTGAGTATGAACCTAAATGTGCATAAAAATGCATGCTTTAACGTGTATAAGTGTTAAAAAGGAACCTTGGACGGATATCTTCGCGAATGCAGAAGCTGCTATCATTTGCGAAATATCCGGATATGTGTATCCGGATATGTGTATCCGGATATGCATATCCGGATATGATATCCGGATATGATATCCGGATATTGATATCCGGATATGTCCCTGACAAATATCCGGATATTCTGGGTTTGTGAAGAACAGTAGCTGCACTGTTCATGCAGTGGGCTATTGAGCTGTTATTCAGATATTGATATCCGGAAATGCTGTTGAGCTGTTATATGCTAGTGCCTTTATGATATGCATGTGGTGTTCCACCTATACGGTAAGCCTGATTATGTAGTACATACAATATGGTGAGGCTGTGGGTGAGGTGCAAGCGATGTTCCTTGTACTATCTGTAGGTAATAGACGTATTCCTGCATTTCTCTGGCCAGTAGAATAGTTTAAACACACATGGTATGAATATCTGTTGCACTGCATAGTTTTGAGAACTTATATTGAATTACTGTTTTTAGAACTTATATTGCACATGTAAGTGAGCTTGGGTTGGAAGATCCTTGAGGACCTCTTGTCTTATTGAGATTTCTGGTTTAGAGATTTCACCCCATGTTTGGGGAATGCTGATTTCAGGTTCAGGTAACGCGGGGGTTGAGACCTCTAGTGGCAGGAGGCCAGATCTTAGTTGATAGATGTTACATGTTTATGCTGATTATGCTGATATGCTGTTATGATTGGATGTTGGATCCTATTTACTGTCTTAAGCTTTTAGCTTCAGTTTATGGATTTTTCTGTTGAGACTCTGTTGGTTATGCTGTTGATTTGGTGAGCATGGGGATTATCCATGCCACATAGACTTGATTATGTCTTGTTTTATGTTGGAGTTGTATTAATATATCAGGATTATTGTCCGCACTACGTGTTGTAGATCCGTGATTTTAGATACTCACTTTATCTATATTATGAGGTATTTCAGTTAGATGTTTATTTGCAATTTACATACAGGCGATATTTTATGAAATTGATTAAGTAATCAACTTGGCTAAGTATAACGACATCATAATTGAAAAGAAAAAGATATTTCGCATTTTTAATTAAGCGCAGCTTAATACGATGATATGTTAACAAACCGGGTATACACGGGGTGTTACACTTATCTACATTCACTTTAGAAACATTAAAGCCTTTTAAAAATGCATAAATTTTCCCTCAAATTTCATATTTTTAAAATAGAGATAAATATTTTTCATTATATCGAAAAAATTTACTTCACCATTTTTAGAAAATAAAGATATCACGTTGTATCCCTTGATAGGACGAAGATGTTGGTTGGTTGTTCACAATTCACCACCTAAAACTGCCGGAGGCATCCTCCTCATGCCTTTGGAATCTGGTTGATTCTGAAAAAAAATTCCCAAAACTAAACTAGAGACAATTTTTTTTTTCTATAAGTTGGGAGATGATCTACTTACCATCAAAAAAGTTTACAACTCTTACAACCAATTTAATCACCGTTGATTTCCATCAATCTTCGTTATTTTTTAGAAGTAAATATACCACAACGTAAAGCTCTAAGAGATGAGTCTTTTGATGGGTTGAAAATGACCGGAGGCTACCAGACACGCCGCCATACTCTGGCGGAATCCGGCAGCCACATTGGCAAAATAAAATTTTGACAACCCTAATATATTTCATATATATATAATATACATGTTCTATGGCAAAGGTCCTTAACCATTCAAACATGTAATATAAAGAGGAAGCAATTCATACGATTTATACAATTCTCTCTCTGTGTGATATAGAGAAAAGTCCTAGTGACTTTGCAAAATCTCTAGTATTTATCCCTCTTAATCTATAACTTCATGATCCTTGAAGAAACCTTCGACCGTACCCTTTAATTTACCTCGGTACCAAACAAAGCTTCAATGATGTCCATATCCCAATCCTGCATTAAAATTAGTGTAAAATTTTATATTTAAAAAAATTTCAAATTCATTTCAATAACATGAACATTTTTTAGTAAATTGACTTGCCTGCTCAGAAGTTGAGTTACTTGCTGAAGATACATTGTCCACTAAGAACCTATCAAAGTGTTCCCAGTCCCCAGATTCCCCATTGCCTTGCATCTAGATATCAAGAAATTGGGTTATACGGGTGATTCAAACTTAAATCTTTTTTGTTGTGTTATTAAAACCCTTTTGAAATATTGTATTGTGTTATATTCACCAATAGAAACTATTCTGCACACAAATGATGTAGATAAAAACTATAAAAGAATTTGTTTATTTGTTAGAGGAAGCATTGTAAGCACTTGCTCAAACTAAAAAGTGTGGTAACCACTTAGACTTACCTGATTAGAATTTTTGTCAGAGCTTGTTGAAGACTCGTTTGGAAAGTTTAATGTGTCTTTAGTTGGCAACACAATCACATCATCACCAGCTCTACTATTAGACTATTGCAATGAGGATATTGAGTCAAATTATGGTCAGTGAGAGACATATACATAACTTAATGCAGTTGGAAAAAAAACAGCAGAAAATTTCTTGTGTGATGTCTCATACTTTACTTAATTCACTAAAGACATATACATAACTTAACACAGCCATGTAAAAAATAAGAGTTAAAGACTTCTCATGTTACATGAAAAGAATTTTTTCTCCTACACACATAACAAATATATGGATTTCACTGAAATTTTTTTCTCTTTCCTCTTTTTAATGGAATCCACATGTTTATTGTGTATGTAGAAGAATATATTCTTCTCATGTAACATGAGAAGTCTTTAACCTAAAAAATAATACATGAAATGACATAGGTAACAAATGTACCTGCTCAAATGATTGCACAACCTGACTAGAGCTAGAAAAGTCAGAATTTAAAAATTCACTTGCATTAGGGTTCTCTTCTGTCTGATTTAAGACAACAAAAAAAGTCAGGACTAAAATGGAATTATAACATTGAAAAACTGGATCATACAAATGTATATAATATTTGATAAAATATATATATATATATATATATTGAATGCTTACCTCATTATTAAGAAGTTGCATATCATCTACCATCAAGAAAAGCTCAGAAAGATCGTCTTCCAGTTGGCTGCTGATGATCTCACATATTGAAGTGGCATTATATTTATGCTCATTTTCTACAACATTGTCATCTAGTTGCTGAGGTAATTGTGAGATCCCTGGAATATTTTCTTCTCGAGTTCCATTAGTCATCAATGTAGTTGGAAGCGCACTTATAAAACCATTCCCAACATTAGAATCAGAAGTAGAAGCAAGCCCTCTTTGTACCAAACCAAAATTTACATTCCCCAAGATTGCTACATCCATATTTGCATTTTGAGTCTCATTAATCAAGCCAAAACTATCATTGTTCCCAGTCCCAACAGTTTTTGATCCACCATTCAGTTGAACTACAGAGGAGTTACTGCTAGGATAAGAAGTACAAGTCGATGGCAGATTAGAGGTGCTCAAAGATCCCATGTTGCAATTTCCTAGACCATAGCTAAATTTGTTAGTTCCCAATGAATCATAATTTTGGTACATTTGGTCACCATATCTCAAACCTCTTCTTGTGAGGCCATTTGTTGAAGTCGTCATGCAATGTCCCATTCCATATGTAGGAAACATAGCACCTGCATTATTGAATGAACTGTTTGCTTGATAAGGTGGGTTTGCATAGCATCCCAACATTTTTGGCTGGACATTATTTGTCCCAATATTGCTTCCAAAGATTGATTGTCCAAGTCTGACTTGACTAAGAGAATCAACAGGTTGATTATGAAGCATTAAGCCATTGTGCAATGGATAAGAAGATTGACCTCTTCCTAGTTGATTAGTCATATAAGCATTGCTTGAAACTTGTTTATCATGAAGATCATTGACAATCCCTCTGATTCCTTTTTGATGTGCTAATCTTTTCAAATATTGTTGCACAGGAACACATAGTTTCTCTGTTCTTGTTTGGATTTCTTTGATCATTAAAGCTGAAACCCCAGAAGCAAACCTTGACCTTAGAGTCCTCTCAGATAAGCCCTCAATTATTCCTCTCTCTGCAACTTTTCTCAGGAAAATGCGATACTTCTGCAAGTGTTATATGCACACTTAAACGTAAGAACTTAGCATATTTAATTGTCTTTCAATTATTTCAATGTCATTAAAAAAATAAGGGAACAAAGAAATAGAGAATTAGGGAGATTCCATCATATTATATAGATATATTAAGTTAATTAAGAAGCAAACCTGCAAGTGACTGGCAATATTTTCTCTTGTCAAGTTTGGCACATTCATGATTTCGAGAATTTTCTTTGGCACGGCCCCTATGAGTCAAAAGGCAATCACATGAATTAAAAATCTACATATACAAAAAACAAACACAAATCTATAAAATCTGAAAACCCAAAATTTGCAACAGATTACTTACTGTCAAATCCAATTTGTTTTATGGCAAGCAGAAACAGATTGTGAAGGTATGTTGTCCAAACAATCTTTGGTTTCTTTGGAATAGGAGAGGAGCTCTCTTCCTTGTTCGTTTGAGTTCTCTTTCTCTTACTATACTTTCTTTTTCTCTTAGGCTCAGTCAATGAAGATATTGCAACATCATGAGAGATAATATTTTCACATGGCGACTCTCTTTCTCTTCTTCTCAATTCATTTTCAATGAATATTTTCTCTTTCCTTGCTGCAATGGCATACTTCCAAATGTCTTTGAAATCATTTGCACAAATGGGTTTCAAAATATAAAGTGCTGCACCATTTTCTAAACTCTTGGACATTACACTCTTTCTCCTATCTGCAGACATCACTGCATCAAACAAAACAGACAAAGGTCAAATACTACATCACAAGATTTTGCACAAATATATTTCTATCACATTTCCAATACACTTAAATCACAGAAAATCAACCACAAGCACATCACAACTTGTACCAAACTATAATTAATATAGTGAGTGTTGGGACATCGGTCCCTCAAATCAATGCGGAAGAGAATTTGCAAGTCCATACGTCGAGGTCAGAGCTCGGAACTATTAGGTTGGCCAGAAGTCACCAGGTCGGCCAACATGCAGTAAAACAAAAAGGGTAGAAAGAGAGAGACACAGAGATAGAGAGAGACAATTAAATTTTAATGTGGAAAACCTTCTTCGGTGTGAAGAAGTAAAAATCACGGGACATTAATCCAGAAAATCTTTCACTGTGAAAAAAAAAATATTACATAGAGTCAAGCTTCCTAGTTACACTAGAGGTACAATCAAGCTTCTCCAAGAACGATGGTAATCTCAAACTTCTCTCTAGGGGTACTCTCAAATTCTAAGCTCCAAGCTTCAAAATCTCTAACATATTGCTAAAGGTCTTCAAGTGTATTTATAAAGTAAGGTGTGGGGAACCTTCCACTTTCTTCCAGAATCTAATTCAATGATAATGGTGGTTTAGGTGGTTGGGCAGACAATGAGTCCTGCACCAATAAATGTGGTTCATGCCAACATTAATTGAGGAAACACCCCGACAAATCTCCCCCTTCCGATTTTAATGTGTCGGGTTCAGCAATCTTCAAATTTTCTGACTGAAGTCCTTAACTTTAATCAAATCGGTTCCTCCTCCTTACACCAACACATGACCGCTTTGTCTTCTTTCTTGCTTTGTTTCCTTCTTTCTTTTCTTACGGCCAAAGAGGATTCTAAGTGTTTTAAGATAGCAAGTCGGTTCTCACTTGGTTGAAAGCATCAAGCAGCTCAATTCTTTCTTCTATACCGTAACAACCAAGGGTGTTAAGAGGAGCTTGTGAGTATTTTCTTGTCCCTAAAATGCTTAGTTACTTTGTGGAAAAGAATCCTTGTGTTCTTGTGGTCATAACCTTGTATTTTCTTCTTTTGATAAGTGGTAAAAGATGAGTTTCCAAGCATGTATTGTGCGCACCATGGGGCTGACTTTGGATGAAGTTTCATTTAAATATGTTATGGATTGATGGTTGATGAATCCCTTGGATTGAAGTGTATAAACATGAGAATATTTTGGAAAGAAAATCATGGACTTGAACTAGGCCAATTCGGCCAAAAGGAAAAATTAGTGAAACCGTATGTTAATAAAATTCTAGGTGGAAGTGGATGTTGGTTTCTATATGTTAAGATGATGTTTTGACTTTTTTTTTCGTATTCTGACAGAATTACTGTGTATTGACGATTCGTACATGGTTGTTGTAGGTTGTCGTACGTTGATTTGAACCCCGAACCGTGAGCTCGGTGGATTGCTCTTGGTCCTGGATTAAGTGGGATTGAGGTGAGTAATTAGAACCATGCTTGTAGAATTAGTAACTTGCATGTGTTCATATGAACAGTAATTAATTGAGAATGTCCTCTGTGTAGGCATTTCTGTTGTATAACGAGCTCGAGAAATATATTACGTTGGAGCTACGTGGAGAGGAGTATTCAGGTAACCTCTTGGTACTGGAGCTTGTTCCCCTTGTGTGTTCCACCATGCCGTTGAGGGTGATGGTAGGAAAATGTATATGAGTAATGTAGAATAACATGATCATGCATTTAGTATGTATGCTGGTACGTAGGTACTGAGTCTCTGTACAGTAGACAGTTTTGCCTTCGGGTGTTTCGGACTTTCACTGGATAGGTCTCCGAGAGGGAGTTCCAGTTGACCTAGGGTCGTGGTGTGTGATCCGGATAGGAGCACACTAGGAAGTCTCGAATATATGCGGATGGGAGGGGTACCTTGGTTGATGTTCTAGGAACACGCCTTGGAGGAGACCCATAGGCGTATATGTCGAGGACGTTGCGTGGTATTGGTAGCTACCATTCCAGCTTCGTCGTATTTTGTATCATATAATCCTCGTATTCTCTAAATCTCTTGTTGTATCCTGTTTTCAAGAAGTTATTTTATATTATTTATATGCATCGAAGTGAGCCATTGGGAGGAGTATTCTCCTGAACCTCTGGGTTACTGAGATATATTCGTATATCTCACCCTGTCTTGGGGGCATTATTTCAGGAGGTAGCAGTGGCACAGGAGCGGCGGGCAAGAAGCACGTAAGATAAGTCGTTGGAGGACTTTATGCTTTTTGCATTTTGATGGCCATTGGGCCTAGGCTATATTTAAGGCATGAACATGGTATTTATTAATAGGATGAGTTTTATGTTCACATTTGTTCATGATATTTTGCCTAAGTCTAGATACAAGTATTTTATAGCATTTGGAAATTTATGAATTATGTTGTAATTGGATAATTGTAAAGATTGTATTCGGACCTTGTGTAATTTGAAGCATGTGTAATACGATGAAAGAGCAATAGGCCTATTTTAGGATTATGATTATATGTATATTTAGAAAATGCATGTAAATGGACATTGGTGATTGAAATAAGTTAAGGAATAATAAAGTGAGCAATATGGTATGAATTGTGTAATAACTATAAACTGAGTTGGGTTGTAAGTGCCCCAAGACATTGTTGGTCCTTGTGTGTGCCACCCATTGGTTATTAGGTACATTTGAGGTATTAGAAAGCATTTGCAAACTTGGGAATTTTTGTAAAAACAAAGGAAACTCTGGCGAATTTTCTGTAGAATAGGCAGAATTTAGGTAAACTTCGGGAAAGCATATCTCCCTCCACAGAGGTCCGATAGGGACGTGTCATACGCCATTTTAAATTTTGAGATGTCCTCTACATTGTGTTAAAATTTGAGAACTTTCTGGGTTGTACGATGCCCTGTAGAATCCTGTGAACACGGACTGTCCAGAACGCACCTGTGCAGGGGCTGTTTCTGGCAGTTTTTGGGAAATTAATTCCCACTTCGTTTCTCAGTCAAATTAAGTGTATAATATATCAAATTGAAGGTTGAGGCGTCTAGTTTGTTGTATAAAAATTTGAGAGAAATTGGTTGAGTTAATTTTCTGAAGTAATTCGTAGAGTGAGGGATGTTTGAAACTGTTTTGGGGTAGGTTGGCAGTTTTGCTTGTCCAACTTCAAACGGTGATATCCGGAGCAAATGAGCTTTAAATAAAACGTGTGATAGCTTAATAGAGAGGTAATTGAGTGTAGAATAATATATCAAAAGATGGTAGATCTTTAGAATGCGGTTTATCCTCAGAAAAGTAGAGACTGAACCATGTTCGGATAGGTAGAAAATGTAAAAGTGGGAAATTAGCTAAGTGGGTTTATGAGAACCCCTTAGTGACTTGTAGTAAGTAAAATAAGTTATAAAAGTAGTTTAAATAAGTATTCCGCAAGAGTTTACAGTTACTATTACATCTTTTAATTATTACGCTTTTATTGTTTTAAAGGTTCGCATAATAAACAGAAAAAGTTTACTCGCATTTTTATAAATGAATTGTTGTGATTGTAACTGCGCTTAATATGATAATTATTGTTAACAATATCGGTGTACAACGGGCTGTTACAGTACCGGCATGGTAATCATGTCGGGCCAATTGAGATCGGTGTGCACTTTGGCATGTTTGAGCTGTCTATCCTCCATCACATCCCGGATCCAGTGATATCTTATGTCAATGTGTTTGGTGCGGGAGTGATAGATCAAGTTCTTTGCTAGATGAATAGCGCTTTCATTTTCAAACTTCAGCTTGTACTTGCCTTGATCATGACCGAGTTCTAGAAGAAACTTCTTCACCCAAATCATCTTTTTGCAAGCCTCAACCGCGGCTAAGTGATCGGCCTTAGTCGTCGAATCGCCATACATTTTTGCAGTTTTGATTGCCAGGAGACAACTTCTTCTGCAAAAGTCATCAAGTATCCAGTTGTCGACTTTCTCGATTCAGCATCTCCCCCTAAATTAGCATCTATGTAGCCTTGCAGCTCAGCCTAATTTTCTCTAAGGAGGAGGCTTAGGTTGGAAGTTCCTTTGAGATACTTGAAGATCCATTTGATGGCTTGCCAATGCTCCTTATCGGGGTTAGATAGATATCGACTTACCATTCCAACAGTATATGCCAAGTCGGGTCTCGTACATACCATTGCATACATCAAACTTCCGACTGCAAACTGGTACGGGATCTTCAGCATCATGTCTTCTTCCTCTTCAGACCTCAGACATTCCTTTTGACTCAGCTTTATGTGTCCACCTAAGGGAGTGCTAGCTGTCTTGACTTTGTCCATGCTAAATCTTTTCAAAATCTTCTCAATGTATTTTTCTTGACTTAGCCACAATAGATTTCTTTGTCAATCTCTTATAATCTTGATTCCAAGGATTTGTTTTGCAGAGCCGAGGTCCTTCATTGCGAAGGACGAGCTTAATGCCTTCTTCTGGGTAGCTATCCTCGATTTGTCTTGCCTTACAATAAGTATGTCGTCAATATATAAAAGCAAATTCAGAAAGTCTCCAGCTTCATACCTCTCAACGAATACGTAGTGGTCGGCCTTCGTCATCATGAACTTGTGCTCGATCATAAAGGATTCAAACTTCTTGTACCACAGTCGAGGTGCTTGTTTCAAGCCATATAGACTACTCTTCAAACAGCAGACCAGATCTTCTTTTCCCAGAGCTCAGAACCCTTCAGGTTGCTCCATATATATCTCTTCTTCAAGTTCAGCATGAAGGAATGTGATCTTCTCATCCATTTGTTCAACTTCAAGGTCCATTGAGGTCGCCATGGCTAATATCGTTCGGGCCAAAGTCATCTTCACAACAGAAGAGAAAATTTCTTCAAAATCTACTACTTTCTTTTGATTACAGCCTTTCACCATAATTCTGGCATTGTATCTCGGCTTTTGGTCGTTCTCCTCATGCTTGATTTTATAAACCCACTTATCCTTCAGAGATCGTCTTCCTTGAGGCAGCTCAGTCAACTCATAAGTCTGATTTTATAAACATGCATTGCCTTCTCCTATTCTTTCTTTTCTGAGCTCGTCATGGCTTGGTTAGTTCTTCATGTTGAGAGTCTGGCTAAAAATTCTCATCTCAGATCTCAGTACGACCTGCTTTAGCTTGTCTTTCATCATCGCCTTCAATAGTTGACTCTTATTGTTGCTGGTCATTTACTTCATTTTCTTGATTTATTTCTCCCCCTACTTCAGCTCATACATGAGGGACAAATTCTTCACATCGGATAGCAACCCGAGCTTTGGGCTTCGAGATGTCTTTGATGGTCTTGTCTTTATGGAAGACTACATCTCAACTTCTAACTCTCACTATTTCCTTGTTGACAGGATCCCAAACTCAATATCTGAACTCACATCTTGATGAGCTGAGGTAAATGCATTCCTTTGTCTTGGCATCGAGCATTGTCTTTCGTCTTTAGGGATATGCACAAAAGCTCAACATCTGAATACCTTCAGGGGATCATAGGCCTCTTTTCGACCTGTCCAAATTTCTTCAGGAACTTCTCCTTCTAGTGACCGTGAAGGTGATAGATTAATTAGGTCAACAACAGTTCTGACGACTTCTCCACAAAATGATTTCAGCAACTCGGCATGGGATAGTATATACTTCGGTAGTCGGGTTCATCCTTTCAGCAACTCCAATCAGCTGAAGAGTCTTAGGGAGCGTCTTCCTAAGTCTTATATCGACCGCTCTACAGTAAGCATCGAACGGGTCGCAGTACTCACCACCATTGTCAGATCGGACCACTTTAAGCTTCTTACCAGTCTCCCTTTCCACCATAGCTTAAAATTCTTTAAAGGCTTGGAGTATTTGATTTTTAAATTTTGACAAATATACTCACACTTTACAGGAATGATCATCAATAAAAGAAACAAAATAACGAGTTCCGCTAAGTGATTTTTTTGACATGGAGCAAACATCAATATGGATGAGGTCAAGAACGTAACTGCGCTGTCTGGGTTGATTCGGTCTCACAAAAGAAACTCAATGATGTTTTCCAGCTAGGCAGTGCATGCAACTCTCCAGCACTTGGCCTTTCAACCCGGTCAGAAGTCCTTTCTTGTTCAAGATCTGGAGCCCTTTTTCGCTCAAGTGGCCGAGGTGCTTGTGCCACAACTCCATGCTAGGTCCATCTCGGACAGAGTTGTCTTATGCACCATTTGTCTTTCCTTACATCACGTACAAAGACCCTTCCTTCTTGCCTTGGGCAAACATCAGATTTCCCTTGGCCAATTTTCTTTTTCCATTCCTGAAATAATTCACTGACTCGGCATTATCAAGTTATCCTACCGAGATTAGTTTCAACTGCATATCTGGAACATGCCTTACTTCCTTTAGCAAAAGTCGTCACCTAACATCCGTGGTCAGGGTTACATCACCAACACCAACAATTTTACTTGTCACTTGATTTTCCATTTTCACAACTTCGAAGTCACCGCTTCAGTAAGAAGAGAAGAAGTCTTTGTGTGGGATGACATGAAAGGAAGCACCAGAATCAACAATCCAGGCGAAGTCATCATAAGCTACGTTCAAAAAATTGTCCTCACCAAGGAGGAAGATCTCGGCATCCAAGTTGGCTGCCAATGCAGTGGTGCTCTTGTTTTCATTTTTGTTTGGTAATATCTAATCCGGCTTCACAGTGTCGTTCTTCTGGTCTTTTGTGGAGTCCTGCAGTCAGGCTTCTTGTGGTCGGGCTTCTTGTCACGTCCGTCACGACCACGACTCTTGCTTCGATCCCGAGTGTCAGAACTTCCTACATTCTCAACAACGTTTTCCTCGGACGTACTCGTAACACCTCGTTCACTTCTCCTGGACTCCTCGTGCAGGAGGCTGTCAGTCACGACGTCCATTGCCAATTTTCAAACAAGAATCAAGTTATTTAAGGTAACTACCAGAGTATCCCGCTATCTGACAACGAACTCAACAGCAACAGGGCCTGCATCTCGTCATCAATCTTCATCTCGGCTTTAGACAGTTGATTTACAATACCTTTATAGGTGTTGAGGTGTTCAATCATACTCTTGTCGTCCTTGTATTCTAGCTTCACAAGTCGACGAACCAGGTGGTGTGTCGTGTTCAATCTAATGCTAGTGAAACGTGCATAGACTTGTGCGCGTTCAATCATCTCATACGCAACTTATGCAAAAATTAAAATGTGTCTGCCACGTGTCATGCTCCACAAAATGCGCATGGGGTATACACGACTTGACTGCCCACTATTAGGATGCACGTCTTGCACTGCGCTAACTTTTGTACAAAAGAATTAAACCGCTAACTTTTGTGTTTTTGCATTGTATTGGTGAAAAGTACAAGTATACTTTTGTGTTTTTGCATTGTATTGGTGAAAAGTACAAGTATATTTGTAAAGGTATATAATTAAAAAAAAAAAAGAGGATAACTTTAAGGGACCAAATTGAAAGCAAGTAATATGAGAGTTCAAAATGATACTCACTTATTACAGGTAGCTGGAATTCATCTTTGACACGCTTTTGAAATTCAAATCCATCAATTCCTGAAATATGAAGCTCTGTAATGACGAGATCAAAAAAGCCTTCAAACTCTCTAAGTGTCTCCAAAGCATTACGAGCACTGTTGGCAGTGAGAACTGAAATTCAAAGCCAAAGAAAATGAATAAACACAGTGAGCACGGGTGAAATTTAGTTACCTATAAGCCATTAAGAAACTTATGTTTGCCTTAAAGAACAAGAAGTAACTAATCCACTACTGAACTATATTTTTTTTTAATAAAAAAAAAAATAGTTCGGTAATGTTATTAATGTATGATAGATAAGTATTTATTTTTTGGGATCGATGTGATATTAAAAATTTTTATGTCTAGCATTTGAGGCCAAGATTGCATTTATTGAATTGTTATATTAATTAAGGGTCCATTTTTTCTCATGTGACCAGAAAAAAATTATCTTATATCACTCATTATAATTATGTACCGTGGGAAGTACATAATTATAATATTAAAATTATTATTTTTCTCTCCCCACGTCAATTGACAACTTTTTAAGAGAAAAAAAACTTTAATATTATAACTATGTACTCCTCGATGTATATAGTTATAATGGGTGACATAAGATATTTTTTTTTCTAACAACATAAGAGTATGATTTTTCATTAAAAAATATATATAAGATTTTTGGAAAGATAAGAGTTATTAATATTCCTGTTGTGTACATATTTCATATTAGTAGTTTAATGAAAAGAGAATAAGCATATAGGGGAATTGACTGATTCTTCTAAATAAATGCATGTGCTGCGCTTTAGTGATTGAGATTCAAGATTCATTGAAATGTGTTGGTCTGAATTATCAAGCCACCCTTTCGTTTTAACTAAGATTAAATCCTTCTTTGCTATGATCTTAATAAGGAACCCATACATTATTAGGCTGATGCATTTATGAGAATTGTTTTCTCAATGTGCTGAGAGGAAGCTTCTTAGTAACTACATCAACACTAATAGTTTATAGAAGTAACACTTAAAACACAGTCTCATACCAATTAAGTATCAGAATATATCTTCTCATATGTCATTTATAACAAGATTTTATCATGTGAGACTATTTCAACCATATATGGACAAATATCACAAATCAACAGTTATCATTTTGTTACTTTTTATTCCAATATTTTTTTCTCTTTTATCTCTTATCACCCATGAATAGTTAAAATAATCTCACGTACATGTTAAATAACACGTAAAATGATACATTACCAACAAAAAAAAAAGCGAGATCAAATAAATAACTTAAGGAATACTTAGATATAATATCAATGACATTCAAAACTTGCCTACAATCATATTAAAGGATTCGGTGTCACTAGCAACCACAAGACGGTCTACAGGATATCAATAATGTAATAACCATAGTTTCAAAAAAAAAAATGTAATAACCACAAGACAGGAGTACGGGATATCAATTAATCGTGATTGATATTAATTGGGATTAAAACGATTAGATAGTATCCCAAAGACTGTCTTGTGGTTCTACAATGTCACATGGGATTCAAGTAACAAGTTAAATAACACTTTTAAAAATTGATATAAAGAACTTGTTAGAGGATAAAAACGTATTTTTTTTTCTTTTTATGTTTGTAGTTACAATAAAAATAGACATAGCATTTCACCAAAAAAAAAAAAAAATAGACATAGCAAAACTCGCTTTGACAAATAACTTGAATAGAGGATTTTAATAATTTTTTTAAAACTTTATTATTGGATTAAAAAACCCGATTTTTGAGAAAAAATTAAACCTCTTTTTTAAGTTTAACCAAAAATCTAAGTACATCAACTGAACTACAGAACAACTACACAGCAAACGGAACAATTAAGCTAACAAATTTGAAAGTAACTTAAAATTTTACCACTAAGTATGTGGATCAGCTAGTGCGGATTATTTCAGTTTAATTAGTAGTTTTGAGTTGAAATCCTGGGTGTTCAGTGCCTTTGTGATCCTGCTCTGCTCAAATTCGGATTAGATAGTTTATATCAAAAAAATTCTATGACAATTTTTTTTTCAATTTTTCTTAGAGAAAAAACCAAGTGTAAAAAACCGTAGAAATACAATTGTACATGAGCAAAATAACATAAACCAAAATAAGAAAATATAAAGGAGGAGACTAGAGATTGGATTACATAGTAAAGAAAAAAAAATATTGTTTGAAATTTGATTTAGATTTGGACTATAAAAGCAAGGAATACACAGATCTTACCTTATATATGGTTACAACAACAAAAAAATAATAATAATCGGATAAAAAAACGGGAAGACAATATCAAGGATAAGCTCAAAAGGGGGAGACATGAGAATCAAGTTCCTAATTTATAGTCTAGAATTCAAGAAACTCTTTCTAATTACGGATTATGTGGGGAGAAAGACTATGTGTTTAGAAACTCATCAATATTAATCATGCATATTGAATATCTTGTGAGATTTTCTACACATATACTAGAGTGAATATGTATTAGTATGCAAGTTTCATTCAAGGAGTCATGTTAATGAAATTCAAAACAAGGGATGACTGTTTGCAATGACCCATAGTTAGACAACAAAAAATTATCTTTAAGCCTAATTGATATATATTTAAAAAATGTCTGAATCTATAAAATTCCAATGGGAAAAAAAACTGCGGCTATACAATTGTTGAATTAATAAACAAACACACACACACACGTACCTTTATATTCCCATGAGATGAGTACATTAGAAACGATGGTCAGAGAAGTTTCATCATCATCCACAACCAAAATAGAGATATCAACTCTCTCACAAGCCATTTTCAGTGTGAGTATGTGTGTGTTTGTTTATCCTATCTTGTTTTGTTTTTGACTAAGTGGACTCAGGTGAGCACTTATATGAAGGGTTCTTTCCTCTATCAAACGGTGAGAACAAACTTCTTATATATGTGTTACTCCAATTTTTAAAGTAAGGAGACAAGAAAAGTAGAGGGATTCAGGGTATCTTTTACTATAATTTATCCCTTATTTTGTCTGATTCGCATTTATCATGAAATTTTAAATTTTAAATTTTATTCAAGTTCTCTTTTGGAATAGTATACATGTAAGATATTCAATTCCAACTAATTAATGGAAAAAATCTTGAATGAAAAAGTTAAAATTAATTGCTTTCTGCCAAAAACATAGTGGCTTTATAGGGGGTTCCTTGTTTAGAAGATTTGATAATCTTTCGTTCACACTGTCCATTTAAAAGTTAGTCATTTTTAAACTAAAAATTTGAAAATATTTTGAAATTGACTCGTTAGAGGTAAATTATAAAATGGTATAACCGTATTATTTATATTTATGAAAAATGATTTTACACACAAAGAATGTAAAATATTCTAGAAAAAAAAAAACAAAGTATAAGCTTTCTGATTTTATTTTGGACATATTGAAGACCTTAGTAGATTTATGGTTATTGAGGGTTATGAATAACATATATTTTGATCCACTATATTTTGTTTCAGCTTTGCATGTAGTAATGTGTTAATTAATGACAAAGTTACATAGTATCATCCAAAATTCTAAAAATTTTGCTTTATGCAATCTAGGATATTGTTCAATTTATTTAGTTAGTGCTCTTCTTGATTCTTCTCTAATTGCATCCAAATTCAGAAACGAAAAACAGATGAAAATATTGCTTTGTTCACTCTTGATAGTAATGCACTAATGCTAAGTGCTAACTGCTTGAAATAATCTATTAAAAAAATGCTAGAAACATAACATTTAAGAATGTTATGGAAACAATAAATGAGTGATGATAGCAAGAAGACAATACAAAATATGATGATTAACAATGATATTATTGTTTAAATATTACCAAAAAAATGATATCACTGTTTGTCAAATAATCATTTTATTTAAATTAACAGCATGCCTTGTCTGCTGTATTTCTTCACACAATTTCTTACAACATTACAGGTTCGAAATTCCTCGAAAAACATTCATAAAAATATTATCAAAAATCGAAAAAAGAGCAAAGGAGTGAACCTCAAAATGAACAAAAATTTGAAAACTAAAATAATTTTTTTATTTGATCGATGGAATCAAATTTTCTATCTCATTTTCCTGTCCTATAAATCAAAATGTTGAACTAATAAAACAAAATACATCTCACTCTTAGCTAAAAGTAAATTATCTCTTATTTGGTAGTTTTCTTGCTTAGTTGCCATCTTTTTACGGAACAGTGACCAAAATGTCACTGTTCACCAACTTTTTTACCTAAATGTCACGCGAACAGTGTTATTTTCCAATCTGTCACAGGGACAAGTTCGCTACCCGGTGTAGTGAACTTAGTTTGCTAACGTGTCACGTTTCTACTGGACACCAAATTCGCTACCCAATGTAGCAAACTTCACACCTTTTTTTTTTAACTTGGTACTTGTTATCCACTAGAAATGTGACACGTTAGCACGCTGAGTTCGCTACACCAGGTAGCGAACTTGGCCCGTGGAAGATTGAAAAATAATACTGTTCGCGTGGTATTTAGGTAAAAAAGTTGATGAAAAGTGACATTTTGGTCAGTATTCCTCATTTTACTAGAGGAACACACTGAAAAAAAAAAAAAGTTAATAAATTTGAGTTCATGTTTAATATTAGTGATTGCATGACACCATAGTAATATCAACGGGCTACTATAGAAATTTCAGAGTTGAACAAAAAAAGGACCCACCTCTTAAATTACTTTCCAAAACAGCCCAATCTTGCTGATCATTTTAAAAGTAATAAATGTGAATTTATAATATTGAATTTCCCTAACAAGTGTTTTAATTAAGGTTATTACCCAAAAAGCATTTAATACCCTCTATAAAATATTTTAAAAATCTCAATATAGTAAGTATTTTACTTTTTATTTAATACTTTCTATTTTTTATTTATTTAACCAGTGCTCTAAAGTCTAAAGTACTCCTCGACAGATCTTTAAAATATTTTGTCAAAAAATCCAATCCTACGGACATTAATATTTTTGGCGAAAGGCTGAACACAGGACACTTTATATACATTTCCAAATATGCATTCGAAAACCACTGCTACTCACCTCAACAGTTTTGTACAAAACCACCTTGATTTACTGAAAAAGATTTATTTTCTTATTCTCATAGTGTAAAAATTTTTATACTATCAATTATTTATCTTCAAATTATTAAAAGAATTTGACCATGACAAAAATATCTAAAAGTGAAAAAGATTTTAGTACTAGCTAATACTGAAATTGAAAACTCAATATATCATTTAAGGCAAAAGTATGTGTCATTTTAAAGGATGTAAAATTGTATCATTTTAAGATAGAGAAAAAGATAGATAAAGGAGGAGAGAGAGTTGACAAAAAAAAAATAAAGGTGTGGATCTCACTTCTTTATGAGAGTGAAATGATATAACTTGTGTTATTTAAAAGGATAAATATTTTTTTCCATAAATAACTCAGTTATATACTTTCATAACAGTGAAGATATTCTCCTAAAAGTGATTAAATTATAACTTCAAATAAGATACTTTTCTTGAAAAAGGTATTTTTCAGGTATAAATAAAGATAATATACCATCTTGTAAACAAACTTATAAATTAAATACCCGAAACTTGATTACCTGATTACCACAACAACAACAACAAAACCCGAAACTTCTTTAATTTACTAACTTTGATAGACATGTGTTCTAATAATTGCATTTAATGTAAATTAAATCATCCTCTTTTTCATTTATTAAAACTCCACTGATATAAATTTTAAATGGTGTGATGGAATTTGTAATTATGTAGGAATACTATATCTTTATATTATTGAATTTTAGGTGAAATAATAACAATAATTTGATTCTTTAACAAATAGTTTATATTAGGAGTATTCAAAATTGAACCAATTAATTAAATTAAAACAGATAAAGTTGAGCTGAGAATCAAAAATTAAATAAACCGCTATAATCTAAATCAAACTTAAATACACACACTCATATATATATATATATATATATATATATATATAATATAAAAAAACTTTACCTCAAATAGATTATTTTTAGGATTTTTAGAAATAGATTTAAGTTTTTTTTTTAATTCAAAAGTAAAAAAATAAAATATTTCAAAAACATTTTCTCTTTTTTTACCTCAGTTGGGATAGATTTAGTTAGACTTGTTCCATATTTGAGATTTTTTTTACCCTTTTGTCCTTCATTAATTAATTAATAACTATTTTGTCCCTTACTCAAAACTATCCACCAACATGTCCCTCTTTAATCGATTAACTGCAATATTTAATCGGTTAAATGGTCAAAACACATAAAAATGGTTGACCCGAGGTTTAATCGATTAAATATCCCTCTTAATCGATTAAAACTCGGGATATTTAATCGATTGAAATATATATTTAATCGATTAAACTTCGGCAGAAATCCTATATTTACATTTCTTGACATCTTTTCAACTATACGCGTTTTTTAAACCAAAATCTCTCTTGTTTGTCATCTGTAATCTAAACTATCAAGAGTCTATTTCATCCCGTCATCTCTAAAGCCTTAATCTTGTAAAATCATTGTCATTGCACTTATATATTCCTTTGTTGTTGGGAAAATCCGAACCCAAACCCCCAAAATCCGAACCCTAGTCTCAAATTCGTGTGAAAGATGAGCTCAAGTCCAAACATGTATGTTACAGTGATCTACCACGATGGAAGGCATTATGAAGGTCCCAATGGTGTTCAATTTGAAGGAAAATCAAAAATATTAAAAATCAAACGGGGCTCAACATACAACGAGCTCAAGGAGAGAATTCACCAAAAATTGGGGCTACAAGGCAGCCAATGCATTCAGCGGTTGATAGCCAGGGTAGAGTCTAAAATTGGTAAGGATGCTATATACTACATTAGTAACGATATATGTGATGATGAAGACGTGGAATGTGTCATAGATGCAATTGATGGACGAAAATTTCAAAATATTATTGAGATATATATTGAAATTGATTGTGGTCAATCTTCATCTGCACCCATGCATACAAGAAGTCAACAATATTTTGGTCAAGAAAACAGAGTCGTCAATTTATCTCCACCTGCACCTCAGATAACTGAAAGAAAATGGCCTTGAAGGCCGTAGGCATGTGAGGATGAAAACAAAATTTTTCAAAAGCGGAAACACACATGCCAATAAAGATATGTACTTTAAGACGTAATGATATACCTTGTTCGTGATTAAAATTCCAAGGTGATCAATGTAAGGTTTGAAAGGGTTCAAACCCTCTAATGTTGATCCACACCACCCTACGTCAAGGTGCAAGAACCCTTCTTGAAAAGCCACCAATTAAACACCACAAAGAAGGCTGGCTAGGCGTTCAATAGATGAAGGAGGAGGCAAGGTTAATGTGTCTAGATGAGTGATATTTTCAGCTTAAAACTTCACAAGAGTGGCGCATGGAATTTATGAGAAGTGGCTAGGATATTCTTCAAAACTCTCTTAAGAAAAACCTAACAAAAGGATGACCAAAGGAGATGAGAGAGTCTAAGCATTCAAGTCAGATTTTTCACTTAAAAATCTGATCAAAGTGGCGCACACCAAAGGAGAAAAAGGTGGAGTTGTTGCAATTCAAATTTTCCCAACAACCTATCTTTTAATCCTCATGAGACTAGGTCTAAACCTTGTCAAAATTCTGACCTAATGACCATCATATGGCCAGCCATATGGTGTGCCCCTTTGGTCCACAATGCAGTCCAAATACATTGAGTAGTTTCATTCAAATTTGAACCAACTTACTCACTTATTCTCTTAACCAACCAAATCTAATTTGGAGCT